CCATGCAATCATCACTCATGTCTTAGATCTTTGTTTTAAATCACATCTGTTGCAATATTTAGAAAACCCACTCCCACTTTTTTCCGTATATAAGCTGGATAGAGTGTTTGTTGGGGTGCCTTTTATGACCAGTTTCTTCATTACGCTCAAGCAGTTTGGTTGATTCCTTTTCCTTCCCTTTCATCATTATTAGCTGTATCGTATCGTTTTTGTGACCCTTACCATTTACAAGTAAAGAATTAAACTCTCCCCCTTTGTCTACAACGTTACGACACATACACACACACACATCATCCACATCAAAGTGGTGCCGCTAATACTCCAAGGGACCTCCAATTCTTCTCCTCGATAACCAACGTGTAAAATCCCCCTGCTCGTTCCAACTATTGACTGACTGCAAATTACTTCAACAGAAATCCACGACACTCCTTATCATCAATACTATCCCTAACCAACTCCTCAAATTCACGCTTTTATTATCGAGATATTAGGTTACTTAAAACCTTACACTTGACAGCTATAGGCTGTCACAATTGATATCTTACAGACTTAGCAGCCTTCTGAAATTTGGTTATCCGTCGTAGAAGATCACTTGTTATTGGCTTCAAGCATGCTTTGGATACCAATTCCATCATATTGGTAACGCCGGAATTACTAATAAATTCAGCTTGAACAGACATATCGGACAGTTTCGTTTTAGGTTCTGTAGCAAGCCAAAGTTTAATTAGGTTTAATATTGTTTGAAATATTGGAACTCAGTTCATATTTTAAAATCGCTTGGTTTGATTGGCTTATTATATGGTGTTAACCAGCTCAAAATTACTTAATTGATGCTGTTATTTTTTAATTTCGGTCAGCTCCGGTCAAGCTAACAAATCAAGTCTGGCAAGAAGATATCTGTAAAGATTCTCTAATGATGCCGAAAATTATTTCTTCGTTAATTTAGCAATATTTTCGCCAACTATTACAGTGTTCCTTGTTCTTCTACTTTTTTAAATTCGTTCTGATCGAGAATTCCTTTCTAGTTCATTTTTTTTTTTCTCAAAGCAATCCTCAATGCTGCTGATAACAATAATCCTTTCAGACAATCATTCTTGATCATATCAGGAGAGTGGATTGTGAACATCTGATAGTTGTAGTCGATCCAGAAATTTTGATATGAGTAACCAAGGGCAACATAATCTTGATTTTAGTGATAGTTAACATATGAAAATGAAATGGACCGAGAATCAAATTGGGATAAGCATGTCGTCGTTGACATATCAGTTCATTCCACTTCAACTTTTCCTCGCAAGCAAATGTTTTTTGACAAAAAATAATCCCTTCTTCCCGAATATACTATATTTTCCATTATCATTAAAACTTACACAGTCTCTTTGTCTATTGGATTTTATCAAATCATAAATTTGCAATCCTTTAATTTCAATTTTGGGGTATTCTTCAATTTCTGTCTTTATCTTCCTCATATTATCTTCTTCAAATAAGAATAAAATTTAGGCTTCAAATGATTTACGATTAATAATGCTTTATGATTGAAAAGTAAAAGTTAGACGACTTCATTCAGATATATCGATTCGACGACTGATATTTCTGATTTGTTTCTGATCTGATTTGTTTCTGCCATCGCTCTTACTCACTAATAAATGTGATTCCAAAGTTTCATTGCTTTTTGAATTGAGTAGAGCATCAGTCGTTTCGTTTCCGGTTAAAGATGTGACATTAGATGCAGTAGAAATATCTAATTTCTGCTCTTCAATTCCCAATGATATTGACGAAAAGGAAGGTGTAAATGATTCTGAAATTACTGATGGCACTGATGTTAACTTTTCAAATAATTGTGTTTTGATTTTGAAATGCCTTCAGAAAGTGTAAATAAATTTGCCGCTTCAGTCTATCCTGATGATAAATAACAATGATTCTGTCTTTCCCATATTAGGAAAGGCTATTGTAAGGGCATCATACATAGATACTACTAATTAAGGAGTTTATGTCATAACGATAGTTCCAGAAAGTATGGCCGATTTTTTTCAGTGAAGCAGATAGCGTCCGAAATGTCAATAGTGCAATTTCATATTATAGAAGCTTTTGACATTATTAGCTTTGGAATCGAAATATCTGGTATTTTCTGTGTTTTCGTAAAATACTGTGAATGTATCGAGGAAATAATCACTGATTACAGACAAACTCTTTTTTTCCCATTTCCGTGAAAATTCTGTAATGCGAGGAGTTTGAAATGCTAATATTCCGGATGCAGTCTGCTATACTGAAAAAAAACCTACCATATTTTCTGCAACTACCGTTGCGACATAAATTCCTTGATGAATAGTGTTCATATAAAATTTCGGACATCTTTAAAAAAGGAGAAAGATTTTATCTAATAAGTGACTTCTTCTTGCACAAATTTTATTTTTTCGTTAGAACCTAAAAACAATCCGAAAACTTTGAATTTACTTCGGAAAGCATTAAAGTTCAAATAAAGAACCTATGCTTCAAAGTTAATGATCCATTTTCAGATCCATCATAAAAATATATTCGAAACCTGATTCGTTTAATTCGGTTATTTCCGTGCAGTCATCCCATGGTGTTGGATTTTCGCTCGCTATTTTCTCGATCACTTCTTCTTGGATTTGCAAAATGAAGGATTGCCCAAATGAAAGTTTATAAATCCAAGATGAAAGAAATGCACAATCCTTACTTCTTTTTCATTCAACATTGCGAAATCTGAACTAAAACACAGTTTTGCAACACTAATTATCATTATCTTAACAGCGATAGCTATGTTGTGAATGATCGAATTCAAAAATAACAAATCAAATCAACAAATGTCGGAACCTACTTATATTAGCTTCAATCATTTGCATCAACGTTGCAATCAGAGCTATTTTAAGTAACTTCATTCTCTCCTGAACTTATTGCAAGAATGCCATGCCCGAAATCCTCCCTGCACATTGTATAAATTGATAAATTACTCCTACTCCATTTTCTGTACAATTCACATCATTAGTTTAAGCAATAGAAATGGCGCAAATATGATACAACTGTCAATAAAGGAAATAAACATTAACTGTTGAAAATGGAATGAATATCAGCTGCGGGAATGGAACGATTACAAATGACATTGACCAGCACATGCTTGCGAAAGAGTCCGAAAAAAGTAGGACAACGATTCAACTAAAAATAAAATCGGAAAAAGAACTTCGAATACCTAAGAAATCCCAATATGACGGATGATAGAGACATGTCTAACGGCAGGCATTTATATATTTCTAACTATTTCTGACGGTATCAGGTACCATAAAAGATTTCAAAAATTAAAAAGAAATCATAACAAAAAAAGAGACACTTCCTTTGTTATAATTTATCATTTACACATCCTTTATCATTTATACATTTACACACTTGCGTTACCACAAATGATTGACGTTCCGCAACCAATTGCATTATCGCAAGTGGCTGTTGACTGAAACCGCTTGTAGTGAATAGTTTGAAAAGAATTGAGTACAACGAAAATGTCGAAGAGATTTTATTTATTGCAGATAACCCAACCTATTTAAATTTAAGGTCATATTTTAAAAAAAAGAAAGAAGAACAGTATAAAAATACTCCCAGTCGAAATTCAGCACTTCCGATATTGATAATAAACTAATGCGGGTAATAAGTTTGTCCCTATTTGATAATTAAGTTCTATGCTTAAAATATGAGTGGTCATAATATTTCGTTCTTGCTAAAACTTTCCAACAATAACTTACGTTATTGACCTATCATTTTTCATTGATATCTATCAGTATTACTGTAATTGTGCAGATTACTGTGGTTGTTAAGGAACAAAACCTGATTATAAGGTAACGACATTCATCTTATTATTTTCAAAGCTGTTTTTTTTAGATAGTACGGAATTTTTTTCAAGTTTATAGATAGGATTTCAAAATTCCCATTTCCGGAATGTTGAATTCATACCGGGATGCTTTTAACACTGCATACATAAGCAATTACTGGACAAAATATTGTAAATCAAAATAATTAGTAACGATAAAGAGCGGGGCAGACTGCCTCGTTAGCAATATGCCGAACTTTCGAGACACAAACTTGGAAATTCAATGATTCTTAGAATTTTTAACTGAATTTATTTGCAATTAGTATTTGATGTAGTTAAAAAAAAGTGTCATATCCGATCATGGAATAACCAAGTGATAAATTATGTTGCAAATTATACTGAAGTGAATCATTATCAAAAGGTTGCAGTAAACTAATATTACTCTATTTTTTAGTACGATGACTTCAGTGTGTTCAAGCTAGAACCTTACACTAGATCACTTTTGATCCGCTAACTTGACCATGGATTATAAATTGTAGTTTAGAAATGAAAATTTTGAGCTTATATGAAATTTGCCAACGTATGGTTACCTAATTGTCATATCATAATTGATTGATCTGTGTGAATTCATACTATCATGTATGTTTACATCGGAATTATAAATCGACGCACAGGTGTGGTGATTATGTAGAAGTCATGTAAAGTGGAATTAAGGAACTTGCAAGTCCACTTGATCTTTTTTACTTGTAAATCATTTTGTTTGTTTGTTTCAAAAAACAGTGCAATAATTATGATTTTATATGAAAGCAAATTTGAAAATGAAAGATGTGTCTATCTTTTGCTATTACATTTGATCCTTTCTTGCCCCTTTCTGCTAACTAAAAAAGTGCACAAATTTGTGTATTTTAGAAGCAGATAAAACTTTGAAAAAAATTTTAAATGGTTGTTTTTAATTTCCAAGTTTATTTTAAACACTTCTTGAATCACGCATGTTGCGCATTAACAAGAATAGAGTAAAGGTTATGTCGCAAACAGGTTAATTTTTTAACAATTTTAATGAATATTTTAAATCTAAAGATTGAAATGGATAAATATCCATGATGTATCTCTCATGCAAATTGAAAAAGAGTGAAGAGTAGACGATAAAGATGTTTTCTTTCTTGGGATTTTGACTATTTTCAAAAAAATAATTACAAGTTCTTCCAGACAATGATCATATCACATATATTCTTCGTGATAAGAAACTAGATGAATGACAAATTTTGAAAATCACTTCCTTGTTTTCTGATACGTTGTACAACGATACATCTAGGTCAAGAGGTGGTTGAACTGTTTGTTGCCCACCCCTTCCCTCCTTAATTACTTGTTCATATTTCAGCCCAAAACATTACTAACCACGACTACTTTTTGGACTATTCCTGCGACAACCTTTATCTGTCGTGTAATGTCTCATATTAGTATATATCAGCTCTTTTATTTGTTATTATTATCCACAGCTTTCGAAGCTAACAGTGATCATCTGCAACCAACTCTGGGCATCAAATGCTTACCCAATCAGGTATCATTTTTCGATGCTCTTCACTCACCATATAATCAACCCCGTTTTAGTATCAAATAGATAGATATCAGTTGCTCTAAATACTTTTCTTTGGGTATCAAATGTTTGATAACAACAGTTTACAGACATAACCCTCCTGTATTTAAGTTCCGTACGTGTAAAGGGAAAGTAAACCTGAAATAAGACTGAAGATTGGATTGAGGATTTGTAATGACATATAAAGTTGAGAAGATCTGGTAATTACTGGAGAAACAGCTGATGAAATCAGCCAAGATTTGTTGATTTATCTATATTTTACCTTATTTGTTAGCTCCAGCTTTTCAAAACTCCACTTTTTTCAATGCAATTAGGCTGCAAAACTTTTACCTCGACTTCGTCTTTTGTTATGTTTGCTTCTTTAAAATTTCGTTTAGAGAAGATTTAAACTTACTTTTGCTAGAATCTTTCCTTGTAGTTACGAAATTGCATTGCCACCAACTTCGATGCCTAATTGTATCGTTAAACTAGAACTTGTGAACAGTGTTCAGTTTGGAAACCTTACGGAAACTGAAAAGATTGACGGAAGCAATAAAATAGACAGTTGAATTAAACCATTTTGATAGTCAACAACTTCTTTCATCTGACTGATGTGTTGTCGCGTCCCTTCTTGAAACCGCATTGAACTGGAAATTTTACAATGATTATTTGATATCATATCATGACGTGCTAGTTGGATGGAGATCTTTTGCTTAGCTGATAGCAAGAATAAAGTCTTACTTCTGCTATCAAAGAAATTTGCTTATTAAAGGTAGTGACAAAGTTGACAGTTTACGAGGATGGAGCCATTGAAGCGGAATGCAACAAACTACCGTGTGGTGTATCAGGCGTTCATTGCAACGACAATCAAACGAATTGCCGAGCTGAAACTGACACACTTTCCGGTATGAAATGGGCTTCCAACGGACAAAGGTGCATTTCAACGTCGAAGTGAAATTTCAATCCAGCAATATTTTAATAATAAATGCATGAAGTAGAACTATTTTTATCTCAAGTCTAACAGTTCGTCATGTTAAGACAACCTTTCTTCGGTTAGCTTTTCAATTAGCAATCTCCGCTTTTCAAAGGTTCTTCCTCACCCAGTTTTAAATCGAACCAAGGAGAATTTTAATTGTCATCGAATTTGTTCGTTCATTTTTTTGAAACCAGAATTCAAGGCTTGCTCAACGGAACCAAATTTTAAACGCTCATCAAAAAAGACGATTTTTATTTGCTAGTGTTCTCTGTTTAAAACTTTATATTTAAAACTTGGTCAGTAAATTTAATACACAAGATGGTTTAAGCATTTTGCAACGCTGCTGTATAATTTCGGTACCACGTAAACTATATATTGGTACAGACCTGGTATCAGTTGGATCATATTATACTGGTGGCACGGTGGATCTGAAGGATCTTTATAGTAGAGAAGGACCCGAATTCGATTTCGTCTCAAATGTTCGCACCGAGCAGTATGATTTAGAAGTTTTTCGAGTCATCTCAACAAATTAAAATGGACTGGAAGGAAGTTTTCAGAGGTGGTGTGCGGGTTTGGGTTTACCGAATAGTATGTCCGAAAGCGAATGGTATTTCTGGATGGTCGACCGCGACACCCCAAACACAAGAAAGAGCTGCCATGCAAAAGTATGCTATTCTTTTTGACTGTAATCAGCAAAAAAACAAAAAACAAAAATTGTTGGTGGCAGCAACATGGGGGACAGTGATTTCTTGCATACAAAAGTTTATAGTTTATATGGTAAAAAGCAAGAAGCATTGTTTCATACAGCGACCAGACCACGGTCACCCAACACTGTCATTGTCACCAAGCACGACACGATATGTTGTGGTAAACTTGTTCAAACCCACTGATTGTTTATGGTTCGCAATAGAAGTTATAATTGTGCCGTGTGACGCTGATACTTATCGTACCCGATGTATAGTGTAGCAGTATGATTTGCGACGGATCCTTTCATACTGGGATGTTCGGCCCCGAAGGTTCGGCCTGACGATGTCATGAGGATACATTTTCGCCAATTATAGAATCCATTCTCTTAATTATCTTAGACTTCATATCCTGCGTAACAGGTGTTGAATTCAAGGAAGGTGCGGCGAACTTTGGCCTTAGCTTGGCATAATTTAGATGAATTTCAGCTCCAATGATAAACTTTATATCTCTGAGAAGCGTCTTCAATATCCCGGGAAGTAGACATCACGCAGATAATCGGCTTGTTTTGTAAAATTTTTTATTTAGACTCCGAGCTCCTCTTTCCTCAAGTTCAATCTTGGACCAACTATTGAATTTGTCAAACTAAGATTACTAAATCAAGCATTTTGATCATGAATAATAGTTACTGTTCAAAACGTTTTGCATATTAGCGTACAAATTTTTGCTTTTTCTGTACTCGAAATGAACCTTTGACAATTAGAAAACCAAGTCAGTTGGGGCTTATTAGGAGTTTGATAGCAAAAGATTGAATTGACGGTGTTGAAACTTTTAAATCCGAAATCTTCTATTTCTAACTTAGGCAAGCATCGAATAACGGAAATGCTCAATCTGGCGGAATTGTAGCTGGAGACGTACCAACCGCTCATAAACCGATTAATCCACTACAGTACCGCCCACCGAATTGGCGTATGTTGCAGCGAGATTTACCGATTGGTGTCAATTCCAAAGACCTGTTCGAGAGACTGATATAAAGGTGCAAAAATTCTGTATGAGAAATCATAGCTTTGAAATACCTTTCTGAACTTCTTTTTGCACAGTTTTGGACTGATTTGACGAAATTGTAAGCGAATAAACGATCTCACTAAAGTTCATCTGCAGAGCATACATGTGGGAATTGTTGCTTTATCATTTCGCATTCATTTTACATCGAATAGTAATGACAGAAAAAGTACTGATAAACAGAATTGCAAGGATGTGAAAAGATGAAGGTTTACATCATATGCTCATTCTCCTTGATGTTCACTGATGCTTCCTCCAAAGCTTCATAGCGGATTACGGACATCTTCGTCGCAACAGAACATACTATATTTCTTCGGCAATATTCACAGAATCATAGAAAATATGACAAAGCAGCAAAATACTGTTATAAAAAGAGCGAGAGGTGGAACTACTGAAGATTTTGCATTGCAATGAGATTGGCATAAAGACCTTTTTGACGTAACAATTCTCGATGAGTACCAAATTCAACTATAGCGCCATTGTTCATTACCAGAATTTGATCCGAATTCTGGATGCTGTACAAACGATGTGCTATGACAATGCATGTCCGACCGTTACAAGCTCTTTCCAAAGCATCTTGCACCACCTGATAAACTGTATCCTATTAGAGAAATGGAATTCATATTCGAAAAGAAAAATTAGGAAGTTCGTTAATTTCTAATCAAGAAGAGAAATTTCAGATTTCGAAATCAAACCTTTTCGCTCTCAGCATCCAAAGCACTTGTTGCTTCGTCCAGCAAAAGTACTATTGGGTTCCGAATTATAGCTCGTGCAATAGCGATGCGTTGCTTTTGACCACCGGACAGATGACCACCATTTTCACCGACGATTGTATCATAACCCTATTTAGCATAGGTGTTAATTAAATGTATTTGCATATGGAAGCCAGTAATGCTCAAAAAAAATTGTCAAGTAGTGCATACATTCTTCATCTCCATTATGAAATTATGAGCATTAGCTTGTTTTGCAGCTTCCTCGATCTGTCTTTGATTGACATCACTCAAGCCATAAGCAATATTTTCACGAATTGAATAGTTGAATAGGATTGGATTTTGGCTTACTAAAGCTATTTGATTTCGAAGATTGTAAAGATTCAAATATCGGATATCGGTGTTGTCATACATCTGAAATATCACCGTTCCAGAATCCGAAGAATCACTGCGCAAGTTCTTTGCACACCAAACTATTCAGGGAAGATTATTGGTTTCCTTCTACACACAACTTTTTCTTACTAATCTTTGCTTTGTATCTAAAATACTCATTTGCAAAATTTATTTTTATACTTCCTATCCTTCCAGTAACAGTTTTTATGGGACCAAAAACTTCATTCCTCTTCTCTTAAGCTGCATCGATACCGAATTATTCTTGCTTAATGCTTTTTGTATCATGATTAATGAGTAATGAGTATATTTAAACTTTTAAAATCAAAAGACCAATTTTGAAACTTGAAATTTGACAAAATATTTTTGATATTTTTTACAAATTTCATCCTGCATCGTTTCATTTTTTTTTTTTTCTCCTAAACTAAATTTCAATCAAGTTATAATTTATTTAACAATCAAAAGCATAAAAATTGGATAATATATCGTTTGTCTTTTTTCTTTTTAATTTAGGAATTAAATTTTATTATTTTATTTTATCAATCTTTTTCTTTTTTTTTATGCTTTTAAGACATAAAAGATTGCATATATTAAGCGTTAATTTTCTTTCAAAAATGGATTTTACACATAAATTTATATTCCATTTAATAAATATCATTGAAATACTTACAACCTTCGATAATAGTAATTATCGAT